CAATTAGCAATAATCGCGCCTCGGATAAACCTCATTGGCTACGATACTGCCACTGCGCAAAGCTGGAGGCTGCCACCATGGACCACATTCCCCGACGGATGAAAATGGCTTTTACACTGAGGGTGAGCAACTGCTAGCGACTTCGTAAATTTAACGCGTTCCCGGGCAAGCAGTTATATTTAGGGCCTGTTTACATGGGAGGCTTGTTGTTGTAGGACCATCTCGAGGAAAACGTTGAGATTTTGGAAAAAGAGAGCACATTCGCTGGGGATGCTGGGGAATTTTATGCAAATCACCGTAACGTCACAGAGATAACCATATTGACTTGAATCTTGAATGAGAAATAGTGGCGAGAGATCTGCGAAGGCAAGTGAGTTGGAGAAGAACGCCAAGAACTAGAGGGAGTATTTCCGGAGAAGCTAAATCTGAATGCTAGCGTGACCGAGAGAAAGAAAAATGCAACGAGCACAAAAGGAACAAAGTAACGAGCCACTTTTCACAGACCGAGTATTTCGGGGAGAAAAACAAAACAAAACGGACAACTGAAACATGCAACAACACATTGTAATAGTCAACTACAAAAAAACGAAAATGAAATTCTGAGCATTAGTGAAACACGGAACCTAAAGTCACCTTCTTTTTCTTTTTAACCAAATTATTCAGTCTCCGTAGAGACCGTCAAAAATTGCCAGTGCCGACTATATTTCAAGTCGTCACGGCGGGGTATTGGGAAAAGTTTTCAATTAGCAATAATCGCGCCTCGGATAAACCTCATTGGCTACGATACTGCCACTGCGCAAAGCTAGTGAATTTTCCTCCTATGCATCATCCCGAATAAGCAATATTCCTATTTCAAAAAAGCGAGTTTAAGTCTCATGGAAAAACCTTCCATTATTGTTTGGATGAAAATTACACAACCATGTCCGATTTCTCAGAAATCATATAAGCTGTTTCTGAAGGGTTCTTGCTTTATTTCACTTAACTATATTTTGGTGGAGAATGAAGCAAAGCATTATGGGAGGGAGCATGCTAATAACCTAATGCAGAATATGAATTGGACCAGATGAGACATGTGTTCAATGTCAATGTATTGTTCACTTGACTCCCAATTCACAATGTAACTAGCCTCTCCAAAATAAATTGTTTTTATTATGGTAAAATATACATAACATAAAATTTACCATTTTAATCATTTTTAACTGTGCGGTTCAATAGCACCAAATACATTTACATTGTTTGCAACCATTAGTGCTTTATATCTCCAGAAATTTTTCATCATCCCAAACTGAAACTCTGCCCATTAAACATTAACTCTCCAGGTCCCCAGGCCCTGGCAACCTCTATTCTACTTTCCGTCTCAATGAATTTGATTCTAAGTATCTCATATAAGTATCCAATATTTGACCTTTTGTTTCTGGCTTGTTTCATAACATAATGGTTGGGTTTTTTTATGATTTTATTTAATTTTAGACAGAGGGGAAGGGAGGCAGAGAGGGAGAGAAACATCAGTGTGTGGTTGCCTCTCACAGGCCTCCCACCAGGGACCTATCCTGCAACCCAGGCATGTGCCCTGACTAGGTATCGAACTGGTGACCCTTTCATTCACAGGCCAGTGCTCAATCCACTGAGCCACACCAGCCAGGGCTCATAACCTAATGTTTTTAAAGTCCATCCGTGTTGCAGTATATCTCGGAATTTCATTCCTTTCTGTGACTAATACCCAGCTGTATGGAGCTTTGTAAGCTGTTGGTTCTACAATGGACACGCACTGCTTCTGCCTTTGGCTACTGTGAACAATGCCCCGTGCACACCAGCATACAAGTACCAGTGTGAGCCCTCGTTTTCAATTCTTTTTTGTGTACACCTAGAAGTGGAGCTTCTGGATCATGTACTAATTCTGTGTTTAATACAAAAGAGTTTTCTGTGAACTTCTTCATTTAGAGGAGAGAGGCTGAAAGAAAGAAGCTGTTTCCACAGAAATGTTCACAGTGCATGAAGTCTGAAGTAACTCTCCCTCTCACGGCCTGTTTTGCCCCTGCAAGAGGACAGCTGTTAGAAACCACTATACGGATTTGTTTCATCCCTGAACTATATTCTCCAAAATACTTTTGGTTTTTGCTACTCATTAAGATGCAAATAGTAGACTCAGAGAAAGCAACATTCTCCTGAACATTTTTTTATAAAAACACTTCAAACATGGCCCTGGCTGGGTAGCTAACCTGGTTAGAGCACTGCCCAAACATGCCAAGGTCATGGGTTCAATTTCTTGTCAGGGCACAAGAATCAACCAATGAATGCATGAATAAGAGGAACAACAAATCAATGTCTGTCTCTCTCTCGGGCACAAGAATCAACCAATGAATGCATGAATAAGAGGAACAACAAATCAATGTCTGTCTCTCTCTCTCTCTCAAATCAATAAATTTTTAAAAATTAAAAAAAGAATCAACCAGTGAATAAATGGAACAACAAACTGATGTTTTTCTTTCTCTCCCTAATCAATAAACGATTTTTAAACAAAGAAAAATTTCCAACATGAAATATTTAAAGTATTGCTCAGTGAATGAATATTCATGTAGTTGGCATCTAGATGCAAAAATGAACATCTTCAAAAGGCCTTTGTGATGCTGATGTGCAGTTTATTTTTTTCCCCAGCTGTTAAGTACAAAAAAACAGCAGGGAAAAAAAATACTAACAATCTACTTAATTTAGATTAACTTACTTTTTATAAAAAATATTTTATTTTTTAGAGAGAGGGGAAAGGAGGGAGAAAGAGAGGGAGAGAAACAACAATGTGCAAGAGATACATCAATTGGTTGGTTCTTTCTCACACGCCCCTACCTGGGGACCCCGCCCTCAACCCAGGCATCTGCCCTGACTAGGAATTGAACCTGCAACCTTTCAGTTTACAGGCCAGTGCTCAATCCACTGAGCCACACCAGCCAGGGAAGATTAATTTACTTTTAAAAAAATTTTATTTCTCACCTGAGGATATGTTCATTGACTTTAGAGAGAGAGGAAGTGGGGGGGACATGCATGTGAGAGAGAAACATCGAGGTTGCCTCCTTTATGCTTCCCATGGAACCCACAACCCAGGTGTGTGCCCTGACCCGGGAGTAAATCCACAAACTTCTGGTGTGTAGGACCACGCTCCCACCAACTGAGCCACCCAGCTAGGGCTTATATAAATTTAAAAAAATTGATAGATTGATCTTAGAGAGAGAGAGAGAGAGAGAGAGCGGGAGGGAGGGATGAGTGGGGGGTGGGGGAGGAGAGAGAGAGGGGAAGGGAGAGACAGAGAGAGAGACATCGATTTGTTGTTCCACTTCTTGATGCATTCATCATATGTGCACTGACCACAGACGGAGCCCGTGTCCTCGGCACACAGGGACGACACTCTAACTGAGCTACCCAGCCAGGGCTAAATTAATTTTTTTGATATAAACAAGGACTTAGCCATTAATTCCTGATGTGGTGGAGTTGTGGGAAATGAAAAGACTAGGGGTATGCAAAGAACTTAGCCCTTAAGAATGTCCTGATTGGGTAGCTCACTGCATCCTGTCAGTGGCTACCAAGGGAAATTGTGTGTTTCGCCAGCTGTCCTGGATGACTTCCTCCTCTGCAGGAGACTGCCCCCCCCCGCCCCTCCCGCACTGTGAGAAAGATGGAAAACTCGGCTAACTTCTTACAGAACATGAGATTCTTTGGGGCCTAAAAGCACAATGGTTGTGTATTCCTAGCCAGTTTCTATTAACGATGCTCATTTCACTTGGAGAACTGAAAAAAAATAATGTGAGTTTGTAATTTTTCATAATAAAATTCGGCTGGAGTTAAAATCTTTCATACTAAAATTCAGCTGGGGGGGGAGGAATGTCACTTTGGGGCATGCCGTGGTGTTCATCAAGTACCCACGCGCACAGGAAACGTTCCGGATGCCAACTGCTTTGACTCAGTGGAAGTTTCCAGTCTACGTTTTGGCCCGTCCTTGCGGCCAGCGGGGACAGGCTACAGAAGGCACAAAAGGCCGTCATGCCAGGTGGTTCTCCCAGCTTCAGGGACCTGTGTGAGCTGTCGCTGAAGACGCTGCTCCCAGACGACTAAGCCGAGTTACTTTGCCGATATTGACCTCCGTACCTTTCACGAGAGGACCAGGAGTCAGACCCCCGCCCGACTCCAGCCTTCGTGCAGCTCCTCTGGGCTTCAGCTCTTCACAAACTGGGGGAAGGGGTTCCCAAGGTGGTCTTCAAGGCCTCTGCTAGCTGCCCTTTGATTATGTTCTAAAACACTTACAAACTGACCCACGTCTCGTTTAGGTGAGGCCACAGAGCAGCGGTTCTCACAGGCTACACGTTGGAAACAGCTAGTAAGTTTGTAAACCCACTTGATGCCCAGGCGCTTCCCCAGATCCATTAAATCTATCTCTGGGAGTGAAAACCAGGCGTAGTGTTGGTTACTTTAGCGGTAATAAAAATGCAAGATAGAAAACAGCATTGGAGAAGTCAAGTAGGTAAACACGTTTGTTCCTGTATATTGGATTTGGCTTTATTTGTTCATTAATATGTAAAAACATCAGTTTTTTTTTGGTAGTTGGGAATGTACTTCTTGACAACCCACAGCAAGGTGGGAACTTGATTCTGTCACGGTGAGTGGAAAGGATCACTAACACTGAACTTGAGAGTGAATCAAATCTAAAACCATTATTAAGGCTTCTATTTTGAGAGAGAATGAACTCCCTAGAGCGGTTTAGTGTACGATTTTACCCTCAGGACATCAGGGTGACGATCTCCAAATACTTCTCAGAGAAGACGAGGTACTAAAGGCTTAGGTAAGATAAGAGCAGCGCACCTCGGAGGCCGATCCAGGTTCAAAACCTCTGACCTGGAAAAGCTGACAAAAGGGCACAATGGTGAAACCTGGAGAATTGTGGGACTTGTAGTTTTTCTTGCATTAGTTAAGCTTTGTAAACTACATTTCCCAAAATGCAAATCTAGCCAGTCAGTCCCAACTGTCGGGTTGGTGTCCCCTACGCTGTGGAAGGTAAGTGTGCTCTGTGAGGGCTGCCGGTTTCCAGAAGTTGTGGAGTTCTTGTAAGGTATTCCACTCCTCCCTTTTGCCCTTTGGTGGGATCTGGGAGAGAGCCATTCTTCTAAGAGAGCTTGTTTTCAGAGGGGTTTCCCAAGCCCTTTGGTCTCAGGAATTAGGACTCTGTATTTGTTTAGCTGTTCACATGTTGCCGTGGAATGTGGAGGAGAAATCGGGCTCCTGAACCTAGATCTGGAAATGCAAGCGTAAGATAATGTTTACGGGGGCGGTGTGTGTCGCTACAGAATTTCTGCATTCTATCACGTAAGACCAAAGCCTTGTTTTTACAGCTAGAAAGCAGACACACAGGGGTAAAACGTCTTGCCGGGGTCTCACTGTTCTTTGCTGTGTGCAAGTAGCAGTTTGAGGGTAAACTAAAATATGAGAATAAAGAAAAGTGTGCGTGCGCTATAATATGCTAGTAAAATAAAAAGCCGAAACAGTCTGAGCAACAACTTCATCAACACCTGGTATACCAGAACTCAAACATGCTTCCCTTAGCTTATGAAGAAATAAGACAATTCTAATATATAAAGTGGGATGTAGGTTTATGGAACACAGAGTTCCCCAAGGGATAGTATTGACTAAAATACTTGTATAAATATATTCCTCTGACAGAAGAATACTATTCCTCTTACATTAAAAAATTAATAAGCCCTAGCTGGCACAGCTCAGTGGGTTAAGTGCGGGCTGCAAACCGAGGGGTCGCCAGTTTGATTCCCAGTCAGGGCACATGTCTGAGTTGAGGGCTAGGTCTCCAGTGGTGGCCACGTGAGAGGCAACCACACATTGATATTTCTCTCTTTATCTTTCCCCCTCCCTTCCCCTCTGAAAATAAAATCTTTTTTTTAAAGATTTTATTTATTATTTTTTTTAGAGAGGGAAGGGGGAGAGAGAGAGAGAGAGGGAGAGAGAGAAACATCAATGTGCGGTTGCTGGGGGTTATGGCCTGCAACCCAGGAATGTACCCTGGCTGGGAATCGAACCTGGGACACTTTAGTTCCCAGCCCGCGCTCAATCCACTGAGCTACGCCAGCCAGGGCATTAATAGCAATTTCTTAATACCAAACATCCAGTTAATATTTAATTTTCCAATTGTCTCATAACTGTCATATTTTAAAAGTTTGGCTCAGGACTCAAACAAGGCCCAAGATTGTACGATTACAGTTTTCTAATCTACACGATGCCCCCCTTTGTGTCTCTGTATCTCCAACACTTGCAGTGTATTCACTGGAAGAAACTGATTTGTCTGTCCTGTAGCATTTCCCATAGTCTGGACTTTGCTGATTGATAAATGGTATCATCTAAGGTCTAGAGACTTCATCAGAGCCAAGTTCAATTTTATTTTTTCTGCCAGCGTCACATCGTGGGTGGTGGTGTGCCCTTCCATGAGTCTCATCATTCTGGTTCGCTCTTTTGTAATGTTGATACTCAGTGCCCAGTTCCTACCTTTGTTTTCAGCTATAAAAGTGAAGTTCTGATACAGTCTCCTTTCCTCCAGCTCCTGGTAACTACTAATCTACTTTCTGTCAATATGGATTTGCCAATTCTGGACATTTTTATATAAGTGGAATCATGATTTTGTCCTTTTGTGATGGGCTTCTTACGTCTAGCAAAATGTCTTCAATGTTTCTCCATACTGTACCATATATCAGAACTTCATTCATTTTTATAGCTGAATAATATTCCACTGCGTAGACAGACATTTTATCTGTTCATCAATTGATGATTATCTTTGGGTTTTTAAAAATATTTTATTTATTTATTTTTAAAGAGAGGGGAAGGGAGGGAGGAGAGGAAGAGAAACATCAATGTGTGGTTGCCTCTTGTGGGCTCGTACCAGGAACCTGGCCTGCAACCCAAGCACATGCCCTAACTGGGAATTGAACATGGGACACTTTGGTTCACAGGCCCACACTCAATCCACCGAACTACATTGGCCAGCGTACTTTTGCTTTTAAAAAAGTTTTTTTTAAAGATTTTATTTATTTATTTTTAGAGAGGGAAGGGAGGGAGATAGAGAGAGAGAGAAACATCAATGTGTGGTTGCTGGGGGTCATGGCCTGCAACTCAGGCATGTACCCTGACTGGGAATCGAACCTGTGACACTGTAGTTTGCAGCCCGCGCTCAATCCACTGAGCTATGCCAGCCAGGGCTTAAAAAAGTTTTTAAAACAACTTAAGAAACTGAAAAAAAAAGACAACCCAGTTTCTAAAAAACAACCCCCCCCGCAAGCTCACAGATGCAGAGAACAGACTAGTGGTTGCCAAAGGCCAGGGGGTGGTGGGATGCATAAAAGTGGTCAAAAGGCATAGAATTCTAGTTATGAAATAAATAAGTCATGGGGATATGATGTACTGCATGGCGGCTACAGTGAACAGTACTGTATTGCATATTTGAAAGTTGCTAAGAGAACAGATCTTAAAATTCTTCGTTACAAGAAAAACATTAATTCCTGTAACCATGTGTGGTGACGGATGTACCTAGACGCACTGTGGTGATCATTGTACAACATATACAAACAGATTCATTATGTTGTGCACCTGAAACTAGTGTGTTGCATGTAAATGACACATGAATGAACATCTAAAACTAGTGCATTGTATGTCAATTATGAATAAACAAACAAATAGACTTTTCACATGAGGTTTCTTTCTCTCTAGAATGAGGATGAACTTTGGGTTGACTTTCAGGGCCGCGAACGGCTGCTGGAAGGTGAACCTCAGCCAACGGTGCGCACGTGGCCGCATTGGGTTATTCGTGCCCCCGAGTCCTCCTGTGGACGCTGAGAAGCTTCAAGAGTTACAACGCTTCGTCACGCTTTCCAAGAAAGTCCTGGTGATGACCGGGGCAGGAATCTCCACCGAGTCAGGGATCCCAGACTACAGGTCCGAAAAGGTGGGACTTTATGCCCGCACGGACCGGAGGCCCATCCAGCACCGGGATTTTGTGCGGAGCGCTGCAGTGCGCCAGCGCTACTGGGCGAGGAACTTTGTGGGCTGGCCGCAGTTCTCCTCTCATCAGCCTAACCCCGCGCACTGGGCCTTGAGCAACTGGGAGAGACGTGGAAAGCTGTACTGGTTGGTGACCCAGAACGTGGACGCCTTGCACACCAAGGCGGGGAGCCGGCGCCTGACAGAGCTCCACGGATGCATGCACAGGTGCAGGAAGGTCTAAACGGTGTGAGTGCGGCAGTGTGGGCTCCGTAAGGCAGGGAGGGACCTTGGCTGTCTTGATCCCTGTTGCCATTAGACCTTGAGAGAAGGGTCTGGGAGCAAGCTGTTAAATGTGGAGTTGATCTCAGCCAACTCAGTGAGCGAATGGGGAAGGAGGGAAAGCCCAGAAAGGTACAATCATGAATGGGTTACTGCGTGGGGCAGCTGGAGCTCAATCCAGTGAGGGGCCCTCTGACTCCCTACAGCATGCTTCGGAATTCCCACTGAACCACCCGGATGCTGGGGTGTCTGTCCACCGTCTCCCATCCCTCACTGGTCAGGGATCAATCTTGGGGAATTAGCTCCCTAACACTGACTCTGCTCCTCCAAACGCTGCTTCCCTGCCACAGGAAGTTGCTTAAGAGAGGACTGTGGGCAGCGGCCTCTAGCGGTTCTGAGGGGACTAGGAGCAGAGGTCCCACCGCAAACGCTACAAACTGCGTCTCTGGTGCGCAGACAAGCAGAACACAGTGCAGTGGGCACTCGGAGCCCCGTAAACGTGCTGGAAGGAACACGTGGAGCCCTGGCAGGAATTCGTAGCTAGCCGGAGACCGCTTCTTTATCTTTAAGCCCCCAAAGTCCTCCTGCGAACTGTAAAATATTTATTGGGTGCCTACTACCTGTGGTGTGCAACTTGGCGTGGAGGGATCATAACCCGAGTATAAAACTTGGTCTCCTTTATATTTGAGAACTTTGTAATCTGCTTGAGGGAGACCCAAAAATAACATGTTTAACGACAAACAACTCCACACACGATTGTTAAACGGGGTGGTCCTTGATAGACATGCTTTATGAGTTCAGAGAACCAGATTTAGTAAAGACTGGAGAAATTGGGAGCTTTTATGGGTAAGGTAAAGCTTGGCCCCGGCTCAGCTGGGACCAGGCAAAGGAGGGGAAAAAGAGCTTTCCAAATGAAAGAACTCTTTACGGCCCAGAAGAGACTAGTCCGGAGACCAGTATGAAATCGGATGTCTGGGAAGGCTACGCCCAGCTCACGGGTGCATCTGAAAATCCGGCGGTGCAATTTGGGTCTGCTGCGAGACCCAAGGAGGGCATTAGTGGTTTCTGAGCGAGGAAGCGGCATGATAAAAATAACACTTGAGGAAGATGACACGGGGTTAGAAAGAGGGGCTCAGGGTCAGCCTGAAGGACCCAGACTAAGGAGGACAGCAGGGAACAGACAGAACTAATGACAGCCAGGGGTCCATTTAAAAAGCCCCCCCCAATCTTTCCCATTTCAAACATCCACAAAAGTAACGAGAGCACTGTAATGAACTCCCATACACCACTACTCAGATTCAAAGATTTTACATAGCTACTTATCCTTTCTCTCCATCTCTGCTTAAATATTTCAAAGCAGGTTCAACTGCTTATCATTGCAGAGGGGGTCTTTTAAATTTTAAAAAAATCAACGTAATCTGATGGCTGACTAGATAGAGGAAATGCAGAAAAGGGGATAACAAGTCTTCCCCAAGGGTTTCAGCCCAAGTAACCGGAGAAATGATGGTGACAGAGAAGCTGGGGGCGGGGCTGCGCAGGTGGCTGGAGACAGAAGGTGAACCTGACAGGTCAGGTGAGGAGCTCTGGAACCGGCCCTGACCTGTGTGGCTCAGTGGATTAGGCACCGTCCCTGGAAGCGTGAAAGGTCACTGGTTCCATTCTGGTTGGGGCCCACGCCTGGGTTGGGCGTTTGGTCCCAGGTCCTGCACTTACAAGAGGCAACCAATCGACGATCGATGTTTCTCTCTCACGTGGACGTTTCTCTTAAATCTGAAAAGAAAAAAAAAAAGATTTGGAGTTGAACTCCAGCTTGGGAGGGCGGGCAGCAGCGGAGCGCACTTAGAGGAGGGAACCGTGAGCACGGAAGCACTGAGGCGGTGCAAACAGAGCTGCTGGGAGCTTAGAAGGAAAAGACGCTGGAGGACTGAGTAGCAGGAGGAACCCACCGGACCGCCTTCGGTTCTTGCTCTCAAACAACAGCTCTTCCGTGGGCAGTGTTCGAGGGGTGGGCACGGGACAGTGGTCACGAGCAGTGGGCTTGCCAAAAGAGGGCGGGACTCCGAGTTCCTGCCCTCACAGAGCCCACGCTCTGGTGATTAGAGAGGTGACAAGAAGACACCGTGTCACGGGCACTAAGGGGAGACAGTGATTTTAGAGAAAGGATGGTGCCGGAAGGCCACACAGCAGACGAGGACAGCAGAGCACGGGGGGAAAGGCTGGTTGGGGCACTAAGGAAATCATCTGGGACGGAGGTGGCTGTCGTGCTAAGGATAAAAACGAGCTGGCAGAAGGCGAAGCAGGGGTTGTTTCGTTAGGAAACAGATGCACCTGTTCTAGGAGGTTGGAACAGGAAGGTGAGAAACGGCGGTAGCTGAAGAGGTCGTGAGGAGCTATCCCTAAACCCGGGTGACGGGAAGAGGGAGCCAGGATGGGGGTGCTCTGAGGGGCTGGGCGTGAACCGTCTTCGGCAGCCACGTGCCTCCCCAGGGCAGACCGCTCAGTGGGCCTCCTCTCTGGTTTCAGGGTCCTCTGCCTGGATTGTGGCGAGCAGACTCCGCGTGGGGTGCTGCAGGCGCGCTTTGCAGCCCTGAACCCCACCTGGAGCGCCGAGGCCCACGGCCTGGCTCCTGATGGCGACGTCTTCCTCACAGAGGAGCAGGTGCGGAGCTTTCAGGTGCCGTCCTGCGCTCGGTGTGGCGGCCGCCTGAAACCAGATGTCGTTTTCTTCGGGGACGCAGTGAACCGCGACATGGTCGACTTTGTGCACAGGCGTGTCCAAGAAGCCGACTCCCTCTTGGTGGTGGGATCATCCTTGCAGGTATCTGACTCGGTCAGGGCAGCTACCGTCCCCTTGGCCAGCCTCTCCCAGGCTCCCTGTCAGGTTCATCCCTTCCTGCGTCTACAGATCTCTTACCTGTGCCTTCTCCTTGTACAGGTGTACTCTGGTTACAGGTTTATCCTCACCGCCCAGGAGAAGAAGTTACCAATTGCAATACTGAACATTGGGCCCACTAGGTCGGATCACCTGGCGTGTCTGAAGCTGGATTCTCGTTGTGGGGAGCTGCTGCCTCTAATAGACCCACACTGACCACAGCCTGACGCTCCTGAGCCAGACGCTGGGACTTGCACCCGCATCCTGCTGCTGAAGGTAAATCCCTTCTCGGATATCAAGATTCCAGTTCCCCTTCGTCTGCAAGCACTGACAAAGTGTACGAGGTTCTAGGCTTCTTAATGTGTGGCCATTCTTAATTAATTTATTTTTTTAAGATTTTATTTATTTAGTTTTAGAGAGAGGGGAAGGGAGGGAGAAGTGGAAGAGAAGCATCTATGTGTGGTTGCCTCTTGTGTGCCCCCAACTGGGGACCTGGCCTGCAACCCAGGCATGTGTCCTGACTTGGAATTGAACTGGTGACCTTTTGGTCCTCAGGCTGGCACTCAATCCACTAAGCCACACCAGGCAGGGCCTTAATTTATTTTTTAATGTACATTAAGCTATATTGTTTGGAAGCCTAAATTCCAGGCACATAGCTATTTTCCAAAATCCGCTGTAACTTTTTTCCATTCTTAAAAAATAACAGCTTTATTGAGATGTAATAAATGTCACCCTTTAAATGTATACAATGAATTGTTTTTAGTATACTAATGAAGTTGTACATGAATTACCACTACCTAATTTCAGAACATTTTCACCATCCCAAAAAGAAACCTTGTACCCATTAGCAGTCATTTTCCATCCCCCATTGCCCCTGACTTCCTGGCGACAACTAACCTCTCTGTTCTAGACATTTCTTAGAGTATGTATGTAGCCTTTTGTGTCTGGCTCCACTTAATGTTCTCAAGGTCTATCCACATGGTAGCACATGTGAGTACTTTGTATCTACTTTATGTAGACAGCTTTGTTGGAACAAAACTCACATATCATACAGTTCATTCATTTAATGTGTAAAGTTTGTTTTTAGTATATTTCTAGTAGAATGCCACCACTTTTTTAAAGACGACTTTTCCTGGCTGGCGTAGCTCAGTGGATGGAGAGCGGGCTGGGAACCAAAGTGTCCCAGGTTCGATTCCCAGCCAGGGTACATGCCTGGGTTGCAGGCCATAACCCCCAGCAACCGCACATTGATGTTTCTCTCTCTCTCTCTCTCTCTCTCCCTTCCCTCTCTAAAAATAAATAAATAAAATCTTAAAAAAAAAATAAAGACGACTTTTTAGAGCAGTTTTAAGTTCACAGAATTAAGCAGGAAATGAAGAGTTCCCATATACCACTTGCCTTGTACACTAACACAGTATTTGTCATTCACCTCCTGGGGAACCTTTTAGCTGCTTCCAAGTTTTGTCAATTATAAATAAAGCTGCTATAAACACCCGTGTGCAGGTTTTTGTGTGGACATAAATTTTCAGCTCATTTGGGTGAATACCAAGCAGTAAGACCATTGGATCATATGATAAAAGTATGTTTCATTTTGTAAGAAACTGTCAAACTGTCTTCCAAAGTGGCTGTACCATCTGCATTCCTACCAACAATGAATGAGAGTTCCTATAACAGCCCCCTTTTAAAAACTGTTTTAACTATGCCATGGCTGGTGTGGCTCAGTGAATTGAGTAGCAGGCTGCAAACCAAAGGGTTGCCAGTTCGATTCCCAGTCAAGGCACATGCCTGGATAGCAGGCCAGGTCCCCAGTGGGGGTGCACAAGAGGTAACCACACATTGATGTTTCTCTCCCTCTCTCCCCCTTCCCTTCTCTCTAAAAATAAGTAAATAAAATCTTTAAAAAATGCAAAAACTGTTTAATTGAACTATATGTACAGAGAAGTGCACACATAAGTGGCCAGCTTGATGAAGACCTACACTCCTACAGCATCTGGATCAAGGAACAGAACATTCCTAGCACCCAAGAAGTTCCCTTGGCACAAGCACCTTTTAACTAGTTTCTTAGTACTACTTTGTAAGTTTAGATGATGCAGAAAAGTAAAAAGAACACAAATTACCCATAATCCCACCACTGAGATGACCAAAGTTTAACATGCTGGTATAACTAAAGCTGTTTTTACACATATTGAATCATGGTGTTTTATTCTATCCTATTATATAGTTGCCATATTTATGTGTCTTAAAAGCTGTAGGTTTTTGAATGGTAGGCTGATGTTCCCAACCATTTCCCCTACCCTACTCTTGGCTTATTTTGGCATGAATTTGTTTTATTGCTTTTCAGATCCCTAAGGATTCATCCCTTCTCCAATTGAAGTTCAGAGTGCAGCCTGTAGAGGGCAGCAAACCAACGTCTCTGCCAGCCCGGTTCAGAACCTGCAGTTTCAGAGCCAAGGAGTTTAGATCTTTAGGCTGATGAGATTTGCCCCTGAAAACAGACTTTTTCCAAGCAGGAGCTTCTCCTGATAGGAAAATTCCTAAACTGCTTTCACTTCCTTTTTTATCTCATCAAGAAGGAGAAATGGCCCAAGAACTATGTAGGTCAGAATGGTCTTTGGAGTAATAACCCAGGGATTGCACTAACGTGTGTGTGTGTGTGGCGGGGGCGGGGGGGGGGTGGTGGGTAACGGTGGGGAGTACGGGGGGAAGGAAATTACTTAATTTATAATTCTGATTGGTTAGATATCTTTAATGGAACCACTTTGGTTTATTTCTTGAAAAGATAAACTATACTATGAATGAATTTCTTATTAACCAAGGAATAAAGGAATCCTTTTAAAAATGGCACACCAGTTGTGGGCTGTATGTTTGTATCTTTTAATCAGCTAAAAGCAAATAGGACTTTGAGACGTGCTTCTCTAAGGATTTCTGCTTCATTTCAGCCAGAATGAGACACCTGCCTTGAACCTGGTCTACAGAGAGGAAACAGTGAATTCCCAAGTGGGACCTTAAATTGATTTCTTTCTGCCGGGGAAAGCAGTTTAAGACGTGTGTGAATGCTGCACTAGCCAGACAGAATCATTGTACCAGGCCAAAGCTTTCTGCACAATCTCATCAAAAAGTGAAGCGGATGAAAGGATCACAGCCTATTCTGTGATTGCGGTCTTTTGTCTACAATTAGGGCAAGCAATACACGTTCATTCTGCACCTGCCGAGAAAGCAGATTTCAGTTAACTGGGATAACCCAAGATCTTGAAAACACAAAGCGTTCTTTCCACCTGCACAGCTGTAGGTTTGCCCACAGCCAGTAATTAATTCTGAAGAGGTGTAATGTAAGGTTGTTGTAAATCTTGTTCCTTTTTGCAGATGGAGATCCTTTCGAACCAGATTTGCTCAATTATCCAGAGTCAGTACCAATAATTGTATTCAATCTGGGTCTTTTGAATCTCAAGCCATTCTTGTCCACAAAACTCATGAATGGTCATGGACAGGCACTGTGTTAAGATACGAAGGCTACAAAGATACAACTTCTTGCTCTCAAGTGGCTCACGGAGGATATGCTATCTCCCCAGCCTCATTCTCTCCCAGGAAATGACGAGTCACACAAAGATTGACAGGCTAAGAAAATTCAGTCCATCCCCCACTCCTTTTTGAGGAAATTAAGACCCAGACTTACCTAAGGACACAGTACCTAGATTCAGAGCCAGGACTAGAATCCAAGTAGATGCTCTTCTCAATTCTTTTCTGTTTTTAAACAGCAATGCTTCTCATTGGAAGATTACAGTTAGAAAGAAGTCAGCCTGGAGTCGGAGCAGAAGCCAGCAGCACACCTGACCAAAGAGACCAGAAGTGGTTCAATGTGGGCAGTGGAGAGTGAGTGAGGTTGCCAGGGAGAGGAGGCAGGCTCTTTCATCACCTAATGTTGGCACGATTCATGAAACCAAGTCTCGAGGGCCTTAGGAATGTTCCCTTTTGTTTTCCTATTTCTTCCTGAGATGGAATTCTTTCCAAAAAATTTGCCTCAAGAGGAACTTGATTATTTCCTGAAGCGTCTCCATACTTCACATCTCTAGCTTCCCACCAGCATGGCATTCCTAACGCACTCTGAGTGCCCTTGGCTGGAATAACAAACACCTCCTAGTGAGCACTAGCAGGTTGTCACTGCCCTGGTTACTTGGTTCTCATTGCATAAGCCCAGCTTTTGACATGACTTTCGGCCATACTCTCCCTCAGTTGCTTCCCTGCGTCTGCTCTGCTATCACCATTTTAGTAAGCAGGAGGCACCAAGACAAATCAGTATACGTAACACTTGAACGGTCCTCGCCACTAACTCATGTTTTCTTTCTTATGCTGTCACAAATGGAATATCCTTTTCACTCTCGTCCCCTAAATCATAGCATTACTGAGCCCACGTACCAAGCACCATGAGAAGCATTTTACAACCCGTTAGCTCAGTAAGAATTAACCTCACAAGAGATGCTTGGGCATGAACACAGGTGTTCAGTGAATGCCGACCTCTGCCTGAGAGGATCAAAGGAAGAACAGATAAGAAATTCCAAGCTCTTAGGTTGGGCCACCACCTGTCCCCACATTGCCCTGTACTGAGATGCAGGCCTTTTTGTGCTCAAACCAGGATGAGCCGGCCACCTGGCTGTCAGGAATAGCAGAAGCTGCCACTGGACATTAATTCATTCCAGACATGTTATCCTCGTGGAGATTCAAGATGGTGCTCCAAGATGCAGATTAAAAAGGTTTTTTTTTTCATGAAAACAAAAGAAATTAAACCTATGCACGAAAGGAGAGTGCCAATGTATTAGAAAAGGAGTATAACATGGAACAGAAACTCCTCTGAGACAGGGGGATTTCCATCCATGTCCTGCTACATACTCGTTAGGTGAACTTGGGCAAGTCGTTTTATCTAATCGTCAGTCTTTTTATAAACGAGGATAATAGTAGCTACCTCATTGGGCTGTTCCGAAGATTAAACAGGGTAACGAAGCGTGTGAAGCTCACAGCAGTGCCTGGCACACTGCAAACAAATGCCAGCCACGGTAATTCGGCCGGGGGCAGAGGGCGGGATGGTGGAAGGCCGAGCCACGCCACCTGCCAAACCTTTGTGCCAGCTTTACTCCCTCAACTAGACTCCCAGGAACCTTCCCCAGAGCCCTGTTTTCTTCCCGCGTCCCTGTTTGTTTTTTAACAACTACAAATGTCTGGCTTGATGCAATGAAGCCTTTCTAAAGAAAATAAAAAGTGAATATCCGTCCTCCATTCCCTTGGGAAAATAACTTTTATTAAACATTACTACACAGCAAACACTGCATGAAGCATTTTACAACTCATCGGTTCACCCACAGCCAACCCTACCCTACCTATGAACATACGCAGTATTATTTCTTTTGAAAGAGGATGCTCCTTGCCCCAATGTCACCTAGGGTGACCAGGTCCGTGCAGTTCCTTAGCTTGCTCTCCCTCATTAGCGCATCAGAAACCCGGTGAGGTCACTGAGCAACCGTACTTTGGGAGGGAAGAAGGGCAAATCTCAAGAAACTTCCAGAACTGACTAAAGTTAGGTGCTGTAGGGTGAATAGGCATTCACCAGGCGGGAAAAGGGGAAGCATCCCAATCGGAGAGAACAAGAAATGCAAAGCGTGGGGGTCAAACCTGCAAATCCCTTCACCTAAAAAAAAATTCTTGAAGGTGGGTGCGGGGACTCAAGTGTGCACTTGGGACGACCCAGAGGCCCTTGGCTCCGCGCAGAATTCACTCGGCTCTGACCCGAGCGTTCTTCCTTCTCGCCACTGATTCCCGCTGCTTCCATTGACCCCGCCCCGGGGTCAAAGCAATGGACGTGCCCACGTGGAAACCGGCAGGGGCCCTGGGGGAGAAGGGGCGTGTGCGCAGGTGTTGGGAATCCCAGACAAGAACGAACACGGAGGGAAAATTGGACTCAACGTCACACCCACGTGTGTCCGTCTTCTCGCCACACAACCTCCACCCCCACCTAAGCCCCGGCATGACCTCACCTCCCCGGGACGCTGCCTCACGCGACCATTACCAACCACTGCGCCTGCGCCGGCGCAGACCCTACTCCCAGAGAGGAGGGGCCTAAGTCTAGGCGGCGCCGAGGTAATCCGGAGACCCGGCCTCCGTTCAACAATAGAAAAAGAGAGAGGAGGTCACGTGCCCACAACGTGACCAATCACGTTTTCTCTTCCGAAAACCCTCCTGTGGCCGGCGGGTTGACCGGGTTTGACGCAGAGGACCACGTGATTCGAAGAGGTAAATACGGCCACGTGCCTTTTTCCTCGAGGCCGCAAGTCGTGGCGCCTCCCTGTATCTTCCTTAAACCATTACTTAATCAGTATGTGAGATATGCTAATCTCTGTGGCTCCTAACACTAGGGTATCATCCCAGCGTCAAGTTACTTTCGGCCCGGTATGTTTGTTTACTCGTTTAAGCTATCCCACATGTTGTTCTAATATTCCCCGTTTCCTGTAATGAGCACTAAGCAGATGCTCATTGAAAGATCGTTAAGGGAATTTCCTCGTCTTGTCGCCTCCTCACTCTGGTGAATTTCAGTGCCAGTGTCCTAACAGAGAAACTTGGTTTGAGCAACCTAATGGTGAAGAGGTCAGGCGTTGCCGTAGGGCGAATCTAGTAAAAATCCTGATTATGCCACTTGGGTGATCCCAGGCAAGTGATTTCTCTGAGCTTTTAGATTCTCATCTATAAAATGGGGGCAGTAATGTCAACCTCACAGAGCTGGTTTGACTATTTAATGAGAGGAGCTGTAGAGAGCCCTTAGCACGGAGTGTTATGCAGTAAATGTTCAAGAAGTAGAAGCTGTTATTTATTATGACTGCAATGTAAAAATCAGCTTGTAGAGTGTGATGAAGTCTTTGAAAGGCTTAGAAAAGAATTGTAGGAAAAACGGTTTTACGTAGTTGAAAATGGAGGCAGAGAAATCAGAGGAGGGGAGATTTGGTTCAAACTGCATCAAGAGCCATCTCTTCAGGCAGGTAGGCTAGTGGTTAAGAGTGTGTGCTTCTCTTGGACTTTTCTGGGTTCATATCCCTTCTTTGCTACTTACTAGATGCTTAGCACTGGGCAGGCAACCTGTCCTATTGAACCTTAGCCTGGAAAAGTAGGATTTGCTAATAGTGGCAAAACCGTATGGGATACCCAGAGAATTTTGAGACACACTGTCCCGGCACACAGTCAATACTCAGTGGTGGTTCACCACTGTTTGGGTCTCACGGTGCTCACGTTCTGGACACATCCTGTGTGATTCAACTTCCAAGGCTGGAAGGAATGATGCTCACAAAGGACTAGGAAGAGACTTAGTCATGTTTAGTAGCTAGGGAATAAAGGAATTTCCAAACACGAGGCCTTTCAACAAGGTGCTTTACTGGAGCAGTGTAAAGGTGAAGTGGAAGGTGAAGGTCACAGGGATGATGCTTTAGAGGGGCAATACTCAATCTTTGCAGAACTTCTTTTCATCCAGGTTCTTGTACTCCTTGTTGTATGGAGCCTTTGAAAAGCAGATGGCAGCTTTGCGGTCACACTCGCAGATGAAGGCCTGGCATGCTTTATTTTTGCCTGGAAAAGAGCGAGAGGAGGGGACTCAGCCAAGGTGGATCCTGCTTTGTACAACCCGCGGGCAGGAAAAACTAACTGGGATAATTCGGTCACTATCCCATCAGCGCAAATTTAGGGTTGACAGATGAAGCAATGAAAATACCAGAATTTCAGATAAACAATGAATGCAGTGTTTGGGACATAGACTGAAAAATTGTTTATTGTCTATGTCAAGGTCAAATTTAACTGGGCAACCTGTGTTTCATCTCGAGGTCCTAGGTGTGAGGGCTGCCATTTGAAAAGCCTGGTTTATTTTGCACCCTGAAATGAGCTCCCTGCTTGGAAAACCCATATAACTACAGATCTCCGATACATAGACAGGCAATTATAAACCATATGGAAAACACTAAACATACATTTAAGGCAGCAAAGTATTTTACATTTCAACTTACTGAAGTTTAGTGAGCCGATTTTTCTACCTTAAAGCACATATTTAAAAAAATAGAGTATTATACAGACATTTACAAGAATTCAGCATGTCTATCTGTGGAAATATTTCTAAGATATTTTATTAAAGGAAAAAATAACTAGTAAAGCCTACAAAATTTGAAGGGATATATATCTAGCTGGTTATCTATGGGTAGTAGAATTTTAGGTGCCTTCCACTTTCCATGACATGTGTTTCTGTAGAGTCTGACATTACATTGCTTTGGCCTTGTCTGCTTTTGTAATCAAAAGAAACAGCACAGATAACATTTAAAATGCACATGAACTTCAGTATCCATAATTTAACTGTGCAGCTCTGCTTACCTTCAGCAATCTTATTAAAGCTTTGTTTTTCTCTGCTCCTTTCTTTTAAAACCCACAAATGTTTTCCTTGCCCAGGGAATGTCCATTAAAGCATAAATTAGTGGTTAGATTATAAAGTGCACAATGAAGTGGTTATTTAGCGAGGTATTGTTAATTAATATGAATAAACATTCTGTGATGCAGACTCCTTGACCTGGTTGGGTGGGGAGGGCAGCTGCATTAAAGATAAATTATTTGCACCCTGACTGGTGTGTCTCAGCTGGTTGGGTGTCGTTCTGCAAAGCAAAAGGTCACTGGTTTGATTCCCAGTCAGGGCACATGCCTGGGTTGCGGATTTAGTCGCCGGTTGGGGCACGTGAGAGAGACAACTGATTGACATTTTCGATGTTCACATTGATGTTTCTTCCTCTCACTCTCTTTCCTTAAGATTTATTTATTTATTTATTTATTTTTAGAGAGAGGGGAAGGGAGGGAGAAAGAGAGGGAGAAAAATATTGATGTGTGAGAGAAACATTTGATCTGTTGCCTCTCTCATGTCCCCATCCGCTACAGCCCAGGCATGTGCCCTGACTGGGAATCAAACCAGCGACCTTTTGGTTTGCAAGACGATGCCCTGAGCCACACCAGTCAGCACTCTCTCTCTTTTTCTCTCTCCCTTCCCCTCTCTCTAAATAAATAAAATCTTTTTAAAAAATAAATTATTTGAAGCCCTGGCTGGCATAGCTCAGTGGATTGAGCGCAGGCTGCGAACCAAAGTGTCGCAGGTTCAATTCCCAGTCAGGGTACATGCCTGGGTTTCAGGCCATGACCCCCAGCAACCGCACATTGATGTTTCTCTCTCTCTCTCTATCTCCCTCCCTTCCCTCTCTAAAAATAAATAAATAAAATCTTAAAAAAAATAAATTATTTGCAACTTCTGGGAATGGTAAGGGCAAAAAGGAACATGGAGGCATGAAGCTGTTTATCTTTTATGGTGGCGGGATTCTGGATAACATTTTTCTCAGCACTTTTGGACTTGAATTATGGTTATTCTGATGTTTGCACAGCTGCGACAATACCCTTCCTCTCTCTGAATTGTCTGCTCTTCAAAACTGCCTTCGGGGAGGGGGCACATTTCAGCATGAGTGCTGCATAATTTTCTGGTTAGAACCAGAGACTTTGAGGTGAAAAACAACTGAGTTCAAATGCTGGCCCTGTCACTCATAAGCTGTGTGATTTGGGGCAAGCGACTATTCCCGAGCCTCAGCTTCCTAACCTGTGAAGTGGGGTTAATAAAACCTACCTCACATGCATGCCTCACCTAGTACCTCTCATGTAATAAGAACCTAATAAATGCTAGATCTGAACTCTTTTATGAAATAACTGAACAGCATAACATGGCAGTTAAGAGCGGAGGCTTTGGAGTCCTACACATCTATGTTCAAAAACCAAACACCACTATTTACAAGTCATGTGCCCTTGGGCAAATGGCTTAGCCTTCTAAGCCTTAGTTTCTTCATCTGCAAAACGAGGATAATAATGGTACACTTCCTGGCACCAAGAACATAATCGATAAATGGTAGCTGTTGTTAATACTGTGTCCCCTCTTGCTTACTGAGGGCCCACAAGCCAACAAGGGGGTATACATACTACTGCAGGTGATCTCTGATCCAGAGCATGAATATGAGTATGTTTTAGTGTACGGGTTGTCCAGGATGAATTTGCAGCTGTCCAGCTTCTTGGCTTGGTCGTAGCAGTGGTCGTGTGTCTGGCAGCACCTGGGGAAGAGCAGGGACAGAGCTAAGACAGGAGCAGGTGCCCGGGCAGCAGGTCAGCCTGCATCTGCTCTCTCAAAACAGGTGGGGATGTTTTAGCTGACACTGCTACGGGAAGTTGTGGTTCTGTGGCTTGAAAAGTTTTGTCTCTTTATCATGTTTTTTGAAGGCGATTTTAAAAATTGTTGCAGGAATACAGTACATCCTTATGATGTTTTGTGTTGCAACATTCTGCCACTAGAGGGCAGCAGCACCCACTACCTCACATCGACGTTCCTTTTTCATCCCCAAAAAGGAGCGTTGGATTCCAGGTCCTCTTGGAACATATTTGTTTATAGGACAAGAGGTGAAAGTACGTTATCCTTAGAAAATATGCAAATCCCCTTTCTGTGTCTCTTCCTGAGATCCTTGGCTCGTGCCCTCCTGCCCCCCACCCCCCGCCCCCGCAACACTCCACTCTCCCTGCAGATCCATCACTCACTTGTCCAGCTCATCCACAGGTTTACCGGATCCACCCAGACCACAGTAGCAGCCGTAGTTGTTGTAATCTTTCAAGGGGTCGCTTCCAGGGATTGTGCACTTGATCATGTTGCGGAACTGCCACACTGCGCGCGGGCTGATGCCGCCCTCCGCGGCGGCGCCCACTGCAGGAAGACACGGCCGAAGTTCAAATTCGTCCTGGTGGGCTCCGCCAGCATCCCAGGCGCGCCCCCTTCCTGCCTGCTCACTCAGGCCCCACGCTGCCCCCCTGACTGCTGCCAGCTGCGTCAGAAGAGAGCTGGACAAAGAAACCTGGCAAAGTGACTACTGACTTTTAAAATGAAAACTGTTAAAAAATATTTTGAATTGACATCAAAGTCATATAACAAAGAATTCACTATTTTAGCCACTTAAAGTGTACAATTTAGTAGTTTTTGGTAAATTCACTGAGTTGTGCAAATATCACCACTCATTCCAGAACATTTTTATCACACCTCACAAGAACACCCTATGCCAATTAGCAAAAGCTCCTCTTTTTCCCCTCCCCTCTGGCAAACACTATTGTGCTTTCTGTCTCTGTTCGCTTTCTGTCTGCTTTCTGGATTTGTCTGTTCTGAACGCGTCATATAAGTGGACCCATACCATATGTGACCTTTTGTGACTGGCTTCTTTCACTTAGCATCATGTTTTTGAGGTTCATTTATGTTATAACACATGTTTAGTACTTTTATCATTTAAAAATTTTTTTATTTAAATACTTTTTAGAGAGAGGGGATAGGAGGACTAAGAGAGGGAGAGAAACATCTGTGTGAGAAGGAAACATCAGTTGGGTTGCCTCTTGAATGTGCCCCGACCAGGAACCGAACCTGCAGCCTAGGCATGTACCCTGACTAGGAGTCGAATCAGCAACTTTCTCTTCACAGAATGACACCCCGCCAACTGAGCCACCAGTATCATCTCTTTGTCCCCTGCCTCGCCCTGTCTTTGTTTGGTCTGCTGGGACACTGGAGTCTCTCCATGTGCTCAAGCCCCGGGGCAAAGGAGGGGCAGCAGCTGGTCACGGTTCCCTGGGAGCTGTGTCCAGGAGCAGAGGCCTGGAGCCTGCTCAGGTGGGAGTGGCTGGCTGCCCTGGCCCATCTCAGACCCCACTCCTGCTTCCGTTCCCTCTCTCTCTAATCCCACCAGCTCTGCCTTTGCAGACGCCAGATCTGCATGAAGCTACTGTGCGTGTGCGCGCGCACCCTCAGACTGGGAGCGAGACTCACTCATCTCAGACCTCAGTCTCAGGCCAGAGTTTGATACCTCGGTGGCTCTGATGCCATCGATGTTGAATAAATGAATGAACGATGGATGAATGAGGTGGGATTTGAATTCTAATGTATCAGATTCCATCTATTCATTTGATCAGCAGTGCGAACAACACTATCTCTGCTCTCATGAAGCCCATGTGGGTGAGGTGAAAAAAAAAAAAGGATCAACAAGATACACATTGCAAGCAAAGATGGGTTGCTGGGAAGACCTAGTACCAAGGCAATATGGTAGAGAGAAAGAGAGGGGTCTTCTTCCTTAGTCTGGATGAACAGGGGGGCTTTTTAAGAGGGGTTATCTGAGTTTAACCTTCAAACCTGAAGGTTCAAAGGTGCCAGCGGGGGTGGGAAGTGGATTTGAGGAAATCCCAGTACGAGAGCTCTTACGCCCCACAGGAAGCTCTAAAGAAAGACTCCAGGTCTGGCCAGCTCTGTGCCCTGTGCCCCCATCCCAGAGGGCTGAGGTCCTAGCCGAAGACGTGGAGGGAGCTGGGAAGACTTGCCTACCTGTGAGCAGAGCAGCCAGCACAAGGAGTTTCATCTTGTCCTGAAGCCGGCGAGAGCGATAAGGACTGACTGGACTTAAGGCCACCCTGTTTATAGTCACCCCGAGGCCCTAAAATAAGGCTGTAGTGTTTGCCTTTCTCCCTGCTGACTTCAGGTTGCCCTTGAGTCTGTCTGTTTTGGGTGGCTGACAAGGGAGCCCTGCCAGTAAGAGGTCATGGAAGTAGTGCGGGTCATTGGTCATCAGCACTTTTCAATGAAGGAGGTTATTTCTGAAGTCGCACACCTTGGAATCTTGGCCTTCGTTCCCACCCCTGGGCACTCAGCCCAGTTTCATCATGGGGGGGGGGTGCATAGCAAAGCTGTGGACCCCGCTGAACAACTGGGAGAAGAGGACAGGGAGGAAATGACCGCTCCTCCCTGCCTTCTCGTGTGCCTGGGTCTGAGCCGGGGGTCTCATTGAATGGTGCCATCAATCACGCACTTTGCAGGTGAGGAAACAGATTCAGAGAGGTGCAGGAACCTGCTCCAGGTCACACAGCTAGTGCATGGCAGAGTAGGGGTTCAGACAGGTATGTCTGATTCTGAGGCACACGTTTTATTTTTTCCCCCCATCATACCAATACCAGTCCCTCCCCCATTTCCTACTGTGGGTTTGTAAGAACACCCCCAAAGAAAAACCCCCAAAGTCTTGTAGAATGGAAAAGCGTTTTAGAATTGTCCTATCCAATGCCTATATAACATTTTGGGGGTGAAATGCACACGGCAGAAAATGAACCACTTCATTTCTAAAGCAAACAGTTCGGCGGCACACAGCGCCTTCACCGTGTGGAGCGACCACCAGCTCAGCTCGATCGAGTCCCGGGGCGTCCTGCCCCGCCCCCCCCCCCCCAGGGAAGCCAGTGCCGTGAGCAGCCGCTCTCTCTCAGCCCCAGGCACCTGCCTGAGCAGCTGCGCTCTCTCAGCCCCAGGCACCTGCGGTCCGCCTTGTCTCTGTAGATTTCACCTGTTCTGGCTGTTTCACGGAATAGGTACTTTTTATAATTGGATCACTCTGTGTCTTCCCGTTGCGCTCCCGTGTGACCTCTGCAGCGACCCTGTGTTCATATTTTATTTATTCATTTCCTCGTTTCTCTTGAGCAGAATTCCCACACACCCTCCAACCCACCTGCCTCATCCTCTCTCACAGTTTCACTGTTATTAACCTCATATAGCGTGGTAATTTGCTATGGTTCATGAACCATTATGGAAATATTATCATCAAATATAGTATTAATCAACCCAAACCCACAGCTTATTTCTATTTCCTTAGTTTTTTGTCTTTTTGTTTTTTTTTTTAAAGATTTCATTTTATTTTATTTTTAGAGAGGGAAGGGAGGGAGACAGAGAGAGAGAGAAACATCAATCGGGCAGTTGCTGGGGGTCGTGGCCTGCAACCCAGGCATGTGCCCTGACTGGGAATCGAACCTGCGACACTTTGGTTCGCAGCCTGTGCTCAATCCACTGAGCTACACCAGCCAGGGCTTGTCTTTTGTTTTTTTAAAGATTTTATTTATTTATTTTTAGAGAGGGAAGGGAGGGAGAAAGAGAGAGAGAGAGAAACATTAATGTGCGGTTGCTGGGGGCCGTGGCCTGCAACCCAGGCATGTGCCCTGACTGGGAATCGAACCTGCGATGCTTTCGTTCGCAGCCCACACTCAATCCACTGAGCTACGCCAGCCAGGGCTATTTCCTTAGTTTCTACCGAATGCCCTTCTCCTGCTCTGCTCTCCAATCCAAGGTCGCACGTTCCGGTCAGTGGTCATGCCCCCTTAGGCCCCTCTGGGCTGCGGCAGTTTCTCCGACTCCCTTGTTGGTGACCTTGATAGTCTGGGGGACAGTGGTCAGGTGTATCAGAGGAGCCTCCTCCACTGAAGTGTGTCTGGTGTTTGACTCGGGATTAATCTGGGGGGCTGGTTATGGGTCTGGGGGAGCATGCTCACGGAGGCACTTGAGTGCGCTTTCATCACACGGCCCTGTAATGTTGAATCGTCTCATCCCGGAGGCCCCTCGGTCACTTTCCAGAGGCGGACCCCGCGGCTCAGCCTCACGTAGAGCTGCTGTGGCTGTGACCAGAGATGAGCCCACACCCGCCACTTCCCGCTGAGCCCTTCCCCGCAGCCCGCACGGGGTTACGTTGTTGTGCGCGAGTCAGCGCGGGACCGACGGCCTCATCCTGACGCCGTGGCCTCGGCTCATGCCCCCAGGAGTCCAGCTCTCTGTGCTTTTCCCTTGAACGGGAACCGGGGCCGAGAAAAAGGAAATCCATCCGGAAGGGCTTCCCTGTCTCATCTCAAGTCCAGGAGTCCCAGGAAAGGTCCCTCAGCTAATGAGATAACACCAAACAGCATTTAGGAAGCAGATGGGGAAACTGAGGCCCAGGAAGGGGAAGCGATTGATTTTCTGCCACCTCTCTCTCCGCCGGTTTCTACATCTGTCCAGTACGGTAGCCGCTAGCCACAAGTAGCTACCTATTTAAATTCATTGCAATTAAATAATATTAAAATCCATTTTTTCAGTTACAGGAGCCACATTTCAAGTGTTCAACAGCCACACCTATGTGGCTAGTGGCTGTTGTATTGGATGGCGCAGACACAGAAGGTTCTCGTCATCAGAGAAGGTTCTACGGGACGGCTCGCTGTTCGGGATGTCGCAGAGCCTGGCTCAGAGCCAGGCCAGGGACGAGTGGGGGCTGTGAGAGTCACTGGAGGGAGAGTGGGGTTTGCTCAGAACCCCACCTCGGCCTGACGTGTGGATCCGCCTCTTTGGCCTCTAGAATGAGTGAGGGCTGCTTAAGGAAAGGGAAGGGCCGGCCAGCAAAATGCTAAGTCCCCCTTCTGTGGGTTCTTTGGGGTCAGGATGAAGCAGAGGAACAGGCACTGCTCCTGTGGAGGGTGGCCCGAGAAAGGAGGCGTAGCCGGTGCTGCAAAAACCCTCCAAGGCTAATAGTATTACCCACCCTTTTACTGAATGCTAACTCTATTCCAGGTCCCATGCTAAGCACCTGGCACAGACCTCGAAGGTAGGTCCAATTGCAAACTCCATTTTATAGAGAAGACAATGGAGGCTCAGAGAGGTTAAGAAGCTGTCCCAGTGTCACACAGCAGGACCAAGATGTGAGTTGGATCTGGTGCTTGTACTATAATATCACCTCATGACGGGAAACTGTAGTAGAGGGTGGGAGTGTGGAAAGCCCTCGGGGGCCAGAAGGAGGTTTACCCACTTCTCTCCCGGCCCTCCCTGCCCCCGCCAGCTGGAGGCGTTCCACAAAGGCAGGCTGCACAAATTCCCAGGTGCAATTCCTGCTGGGACTTAGGCAGAGAGCACCTGGCGAGGGAAGGTCAGGCAGCTACTGGAACCTTCTCTTCCTGGAAAGAGACTTGCTAAATGAGACAATCCAGACCTCCGCAGGGGACCCAGAGGTGGCCAAGGAATGGACTTGGCAGGTCACCGGGTAGCCTGTGACCACCAAGCTCCTACGCCCTTGGTGCCATGACGTCCTGCTGCCCCAGATGCACACACAGGTGTGTCCGGTACAGCTTCTCCCAGCCTAGGAAAAACACACTCTCCAGTGGAAAGAACAGCTAAGGATAGCTTCTTGGCCCCTTCAGGTGACAGCATACCCACACTCCAGCGAGGTCACACTGACCTAGTTCCTAGAAGACAAGGCTCCTGCTTCCAGGTCAAAGCAGCTACCATTGGGTGTGTGCTTCTGTATGCTTCGCACTGTGCTAAGGGCCGTGTGTGTGTGTGTGTGTGTGTGTGTGTGTGTGGTTTTTCAGCCTAACCCCAATCGCCTGGCATAGCTATTGTTGTTTCCTCATCTTCCCCTTTTTACAATGATAAAAGAGGTTCAGAGAACTTAAGTAACTTGCTTAAAGTCACACAGCTTGAAAGACAGGGTTTCAACCTGTGTACCTGCTTCTTAGTCCAGGGCTTCTAACAACAACAACAACAACAATTAGCAACAGCAGCAAACACCCCTTGAAGGCTGTGCCAGGAAAGAGACTGCGACCTTCACACAGGCTAGCCCACGGTCAAGGTCTATTCAGTTGAAGCAGCACATCCAAGTGTCTGCCAGGGGTGTCTGACCTGCGGCCCACGGGCCGCGTGCGGCCCAGCACAAAACTGTAAGTTTACTTAAAACCTTTTTTTTTTTTTTTTTGCTCATCACTTTTCATTAGTGTTTGTGTCTTTACCGTGCGGTCCAAGACAACTCTTCTTCTTCCCCCGTGGCCCAGAGACGCCAAACATGTGGACGCCCTGAACCTTTTTCCACACCAAAGCCACCCTCCTTAGCCTCTGGGTTTTCATGACGGTCTTCTAACTTATCCACCCGGAGACGGCGCGCTTTAAATATTCTGGGTGCTGGCCTCGCCCTGGACGGTCACAAGCCTCTTCTCCCATTCCACAGGCCACCTTCCTCTCTGCTGTGTCCTTGGGCGCACGGAACTCTTTAAGTCTGATGTAGTCCCACGGGTCTGTTGTTGCGTTTGTTGTCTGTGCTTTTCGATGTCCTTTCCCATAAATCATTGCCAAGCCCAATGCCATGAAGCTTTCCTCGTGTCCTTCGAGGAATCTCACAGTTTCAGGTCTTACATTGAGGTTGATTCATTTTGAGTTAATTTTTGTAGATGGCTCAAGGTAAGGGTCCAACTCCATTCTTTTGCGTGTAGATATCAAGTTTTCCTGATTCCTTTCGTTGGAAACTGTCCTTTCCACACTGGGTACCCTCGGTACCCACTGGGTACACACTGGGTACCCTTTATCGGAGGTCATTTGTCCATATTAGTGAGGGCTTATGGCTGGGTTGTCTTATCGTATTTCATTGTCTTCATGCCAGTACCTCACTGTTTTGACGACTGTAACGTTTGTAATGTACTTTGAAATCAGAAGGTGTGAACCCACCAAGTCTTTCAAAACTGCTTGGCCTATTTGGGGTCCCTTGACATTCCATATGAATTTTAAGTGCCTTTAGGGCTTTGACAGGTATTGCGCTGAATCTTCAGATTGCTTTGGGTAGTATGGACATCTTAGCATTAAGTCTTCCGATCCATGAACACAGGATGTCTCTCTGCTTACTTGTGTCTTCTTTCATTTCTTTGTGCAATATTTGGTAG